GGCGGCCCTGTTGCCATTGTTTAGTGCATGATCTATCACTTGCAACTTAAAGCAGCCGCGTGGCTTCAGTATCACCCCATAACGTGCCAAGATTACCGACACAACATACAAAACACGCCGCAACTACAGTGTACTAGAAGAAGGGCAGTGAAGCGGGCGGCAGCTTCCGCGTGACTCCGGCGGTGTCGCCAGCAGCGGCGGTGCTGCGATTGACCAATCTTGAAGAGGAGCACGCAAAACGTAGCATCCACTGCGACGCTCGCGTGTGCTCGACGCGCGCTGTAGCTGTGCTTCAGATGTTTGTACGTAAGCACTTCGCTTATTTAGCCTGTATTATCTGCTAAGGACCAGAAACTACAAGACAGATTGGTTTTCCCACAGATGCAAACGCATTTTGGGAAAGTACTGGCGGCTTGAATAGAGCCACGTTCTCGAAAACACGGACACTTTCCATCGCAATTGAGCCTCATTAGAACATTTTTGAACCGTTTTAACAATCACGATCGAGTTTGTTTAGCCCACAGAATTTGAAAGCGCAGACGAATCTCTGATAGAGAGCGAGTAGATTTGGATCTTGGGTAATCGTAATAGGGATGCCGTGTGAGAGGAGCATAAACGTAGCTAGTCGCCACAACTATGAAACGCGCTCATTCTCTTGCAACCCCTGTGAACAGCATAGTATGCAAGGCCTGAAAAAATTTTTTTTTAAATGATCGCGAAAATGAATGTCACGCAGAATCAGCTGTACTCGTTGCTGAAACAGCTATAATAAAACATTCGTGCACGAATTTGAACAGCCATATACGCCCACAGCAAGAACTTATTTTGAAAAGGACACTGAAATTTACCAATAGAAATCGTGCCCAAAAGGCAAGTCAAGCAAGCTGAAAAAGAGGACTAGCACACCACTGATGCAGAAAGCCAAGTGGGAACTTCCTTAAACTGGCAGAGCAGCCGATTGTAGTTATAGTGACCGTGCACTTTGCGGCGAGCAGTTAAACGAGCTACAGCATTTCACAAAATGGACACAAGGTCATGGTCTCTGTAATCTGTGATTTAATAGTGACAATACATCACAGAATTTGAGAACACACACATGAGGCAGTAGGGTGCAGGGCATTGATATATGAAATTGTTTTTCACACTAATGCAATGAGAACATTACCCTGTAATGGGTAGAAAAACAACTGAACTACTATACAAAAGGGAAGCCGCTTGCTTTGATTCAGCAAATCCTCACAGCTGGCAAGGTAAATCTCAGAAAATAAATAACAGCAGGCGAGGCAGGCAAAAGCATAATCCATGTTAAGAGAGTTGCCATGCACCTAGTTTAGCCTGCTTAGTTTGAGGTGCTTGGCTGAATTACGTTTCCTCAGCAGATTTGACTTATTCTTGCCTTTCACAAAAAAGTGCAGTCGCATAGTAACGTAAAACCCAACAATGTGTGCTGTTAGGCTCTTGGCGTAAATTTCGCAGCCAACCTGCTATGGGGAAGCATGATGAATCATGTGCAACACATCCATAACACTCTCGCTATGAAGTTTGCGTCCACTGAAGCAGTTTGTAAACACATCTTCAAGACGTGAGATGAACTTCACCAGTTCAAGTGAGGGGTAATGCAGGCCACCCAGGTCGATGTGCTTGATGAATTCTGCTGCAGGCATGCGACGCCCATCTTGTGCTGAAAGCAGAAGGCAGTCGGTACAAGCAGGCCAACTGCTTGGTAAGACGCACCTCTTGGCAACGTAGCCGGCAATGTGACATATCAGGCTCGAGTCGCTTCTTCTGACATTGCATGGATGTTCTGAAGAATTTCCTGACGTTGACTCGTTGGCAGGAGCTTGCTTGTTCAAGTACAAATTCACTGTGTCCATCAGTTTCTTCTTACCTGTCAATTCATTGTCTTCAATGCTGAGCAGGGAGCTGAGAATCTGCAGTTGAATTTCCACCTGTTACGCTACGGGCAAGGTTATAAAACGACAGGCAGTTCACTGTGAGGAGAAACTGCTGCAAGGTCGGGTGTGTATTGCAGCCTGAAGACATCCTTACAATTCCAAAAAAGTTCTCAACTTTGTCTTGGCTGAGTCGAGATGTCATCAGGTACGTGTATCCCACTTTCTTGTGTAGGTAGTCGAGGAGCTCAAGAGTGCTGGTAAGGGTTACTCTTAGCCCTTCTGCTGTGGATTGGCTGAGGAACTGCTTTTTGTCTGTGTGGTCCTCCCACTTGTTTAGGAACTCAAGCATTTCCTTTATGACTCCTACACTAGGAGAGTTTGGCTGGACGGCTTCTGCAGTATATCTGCCAGTCATAACAGCGATCAGAGCTTTCATCCTTTTAAAAAAACTTTCCGTGGCATCGATGTTCCCAAAGCGTCTCTGCAGCTGTGTACGATAAATGAAAAAGGCCCGAAGTGGACCGTCTCCAAATATCTGAAAAGCATAACTTGCCCTCATTTTCTCGAAATTATTGCGCATTAAGTGAACAGCAGTAATACTTGGCATTGCTTTCAGGGTGACAATCACTGTCAAGTTTGAACGCTTCTTTAATAAACTGCAGTGAAACTTGTCCCTCAGGTGTGTTAAATGTGGTGTTCAAAAGTCGGTTGCGCACATTCTTTACAAGGTGCGGGAAATCAGAGAAAAAATGAATAAAGCGGTTGCTGTCAACAAGATGCACAGCCTTGCAGACAACTTCCTTTGAAGAAGCATGTATATTGAATTTTCTCCACATCGCCCTGTTCCATGATGTTGCATCCCAGGTCAGGAAGTCTACAAACAAACCTGCTTTCTCCGCCAGCACTGTCGCCTCGAGCACAATCTTAGCTAAAAGGTCGCCTTTGACATTTTCGTGACTTGCAAATGTTTCAAGCACCTGTGTCCAACTACCCACAAGTGGCACGAACATTACGACAAGCCCGTGATAGCATAGGAGTGAGTGCTGTTCTTTAGTAGTGTACTGCGCCAAATTCACAAAGCCTTCAACTTTGCCATCTGCACTTACTGACAGGTTTTCTGACAAATTCATCTCATCTACGACAATACCTCCATGTCGATGGAAGCTGTCAAATTCAGCCACTTTTTTTTTCAGCCGCTCAACATCTTTTCATCAAAACCATAGCCAGTTCTGTATTGAGCCATGTATTTTCGGATGGTTGTCTCACTTGGCAGAGCAAGAATGTTTTGCTTTCTCATATATTGGTACAACTTCGGGCTTCTTATCTTGAGCAGAATACACTCCAGCATCCATTCTTTATCATACGGTATCCCGCAAGGGCTCTTCATTTTTGCTGATTCGAAGCACTGTCTGACGGCAAGTTGTTGTTTTGGTGACAGCAAGCTTATCTTTGCTGCTAATACTGCTTCAGCAGTCGCAGCAGATTCATCCTTCAACCTACGAACATCTTTTGCTAGGTTCCCCAGCCTCACCATGAGCCTCTTGTTCCTGCGGGCGCACACCTTCAGCTTTTTCACAGTACTACTGCAGGCCCTTGATGTCTTGTGTCGTTTCCTGATCCGCAACTGCCTTGTGATGAGGGCCTTTCTCAAGTACTTACAGCTGAAGCAGGGCGTTCCGTCTTTCTTGGTGCTTCCAAGGCACTTGACACTAAAACTGCTCCCGACTTCAACTCAAGCTGGCATTGCAAATTCACAGTAATGTTGGCTGTCAAAAAATCACCTTGTGTTCCCGCACCCTTGCACAAATGCAGTAGAGATGCTTGGTCCAATACCGCTTCTGCGTCCAGCATCGTAAAAACAGCAGCCTCTGCTACGGATTTCCCTTGAACAAAAGTTCTCGAGTGGATACCACCGTCGGCGTTCACAGTAAAAAAACACGGCCTTTTCTACTTTCAGTTCACCCGTGGAAGCATTCAGTGAACAAGACGTAAAGCACGCACCGTCAACCTCCCGAAGTTCGTGAAATGTCCAGTACCTGTTGGGGAGTTTCACATCCCTCAAAGCTGCAATCGTCGCAAGGGCGTCGTCGTTCGCCGTGGGCTCGTTGAGGACATCAGATACGCTTGAAGGAGACCTGTTCTGCACAGCTGGCTCGTCCGTAGTTGACAGCCGTCGCCTTTTTCGTGGCACAGCATCCTCTTCGGATCTCTTCCTTACGTTTCTCTCTGGAGGCAAGCGCTTGCTCAAGTGCGGGGCAACGTTAGGCAGGATGGTGAGAACAGCGTCGGGTGTTAGCGTTGGCGTCCCGCGAGGAATCCGTACCTCCGTGCCGTTGATGATGTGCACATATCCCTAACGATGAAACGCTGCTCAAAATGTAGCTCACACACTGCAGAGTCCGGTGTTAGTCTCTTGTCGCCTCTGTGCAAATAACGTTCCCAAACGCTTCTTCGCTCTGGGTCTGCGGGCGCTTTAAACAACGAAAGCTTCGCCGTTTGTTTCATTCGAGAGTACCCTGTGCTGCATCCAGGAGCGAAGCAATGGTTCAAGCGTTGTTTTTTAGAAGCCATTCGAACGTTATAGCATGAGAGAAAAGCGGAAGAATCACTTCCAAACAAGCGCATTCCAGCCAAGAAACCGGCAACGCTGGCAACACGAAGCAGCCGCCTTCAAGATTGGACGACTACAGCGCCGCCGCTTCGTTCGCCAGCGGCGACGTCAACCGGTCCTATGGGTCGCTCTCTCCGTCCGCTTCACTGCCCTTTCTAGTACACTGTACCGCAACGCGCACTGGCCACTTCGGCTTGGATTGAATTGGATTGAATCTCTGTGCAATAGTACGCTTGATGCTTAAGAGATGGCGCCAGATAGTGCACGCTATCATCATCAATGGCTGGAACGAGCAGACAACATTATTGCGGGAGTTTTCGGGGGTGTGATAATTACTCGAGAAAAAAAAATCGTATTTTTCTTGGGCGATGTGGGGGGTGCGAGAATCATGCGAGTGCGAGGATTACGCGAGTCAATACAGTACCACTGCCCATGTACTACATAATAGCTGCTGAGAAATACATGCCCTGACACTAGCACCTGACCACACTGACCTGCTCGCAGGCCAGACGGAACTGTCCCTCGACACCGGTGACCCCGAGCGCAGCCTCGATGTTGGGGGTCATGCGGAAGGGCACCTTCTCGGGGACTCGCAAGTTCTTGCCTTTCTCGAAGCACACATTGTAGTCAATGTGCACCACCTGAAACCAAGAAAAGCAGGAATGTTACAGCATCACTTGTGTGCAAACTGCCTCCAATAGAAATGGTATGCGACTTGCACTCACAGACCACAAGCTCCTATTAGCAAGACCAAAACAAAAACTTATAAAAAACTTTTTTCATTACAAATGTCATTTTTAACAGTGGAACTTTCTAAGTTGAGCCTGCGCTATCTGCATAGTGGTCCATTGTCCCGCAGGTCACTGACCAGTGGGGAGAGTGTGAATAAAGAAATAGAAAAGTAAAGCCAAGTGATGATAACAGTCTCCCATACACAGATAATTGACAGTCTCCCATACACTTGTCCACCCTTACACCTTCACGGTCCAACTGCTTTCATGGCATGCAACTGGCCTAGTTTTTTTTTGGTTGGCTGCCATCAAACTACACGACAGCGAACCCAAGCATATTGCCAAGTGAATCCTGCGAAACTGACCTCTCCGGTGCGCAGGTCAAGCAGCATGTTGTCGAGGTGTCGGTCGCCGAGGCCGATGACGTATCCGACGGTCGACATGACGGCCGTTGAGCGGTTGAAGGCACAGGTGACGCGCCACCAGTGCGGGGCACTGACCGCTGCGCACCACAGCTCTCGGGCCACCAAGTCCTTGGGAGTCTCGGCCATGAGCACCTGCAGTGTGCTCACCAAGACGCTCACGGGCCAATCACGACGATTGTCCAAGTTGGTGATGCCCTGAGCAAGCAAGTCACAATTCACTAGACGGCTTGCCTCGCAATCGATTAAAGCAGAGTGTAGCCTCAAGAACAAATTAAGCGTAGTGAAAATAAATGTAGCAGTGATGCCAGCGAGGTCTTCTAATTTGGAGCAATTTTTGGAGCAGCGAAAGTTTCTATTTTGGAGCACTTTAGAGCAGCCAAATTTTCCATTTTGGAGCACTTTGGAGCAGCAAAATTTTCCCATTTTGGAGCAATCTGGAGTAGCTAACTTCACATCCTCGTAGAGAAGCAAGTTGCATTTACATTCAACGGCATTTGGGGCTCTTGTCTCCTGTGAACAGCTAGAAATATTTCCATCCATTTCAAATCTCATGAAGACAGTCATCGTAAGGGCACTCCCTATCTTAGTTGATGATGCAAACATAATGGCATCATTATATTGGCCATTATGAAAAAACTTGTTCAGTGATTATTTTGTATCATATAAACAGAATACTGAGGAACAAAAATTGTACTTCATTAAATAACATTCGAAACACCTATGTGGTTATATATGTGGTTATATATATCAGTATATATGGCAGACAAACGCTGTGACGTAAGACACTAGAGACACACACAGTCGCGCCTGCATTTCCTTTAGACGAATCCATTGATATAGAAAGGTTCCTTTTCTTCACAACTGATTATACTGCTGGGCTTAACATGACGTGATTTAGCTAATCTCATAAAGCCAACCTCCTCCGGCACCCATCTCTCTGTACCGAAACTACATGACTTAACAAATTTCGTTTTCCTTTTGCAGCAATATTTTATGTGTCTAGAGCATTCTGTCTATACTCCAAAATCCTTCTGTACACTCGAAACCCGCAAAAACGAAATCGCCGGGGAAACCGAAAAATTTCGTTTTCGCGAGAATTTCGTTACCGCGAGTATGAGACATAAAAACAGTGATACGGCCAGCAGAACAAAAGTTTATTGTCAGAAGTCTGTCAACTTACTTTGCCGACCCTTGCCATGCAACAACTTCAAAGCTCTGCCTTCGCATTGGAAAAAGTGGTCCATTGCTACGTCGTTGTCATGTGTGCCGAAGGAGCAAGGAGTGTCCGGCGCATCCCAAACAACCCGCTGGTGGTTTCGGATGCGCTAGCGCGTCGTTCCTGCCCGCAGTCTCACTGTCAGCGAAGTTAGGGCTAAGCCGACTCCGATGACGCGCCGCACTCGTAGACCGCGCGCCCGTTCGTAGTAATCTGACCCTGCCACCGCTTACAGCTTCGTTGCTTGCGACGAAGCACGTCGCCACGAGTGCACTAGCGCAGCGTTCCTGCCCGCAGTCTTGCTGTCCGCGGAGTGAGGGCTAAAGACGACTCCGATGATGCGCCGCACTCGTAGTAACCTTATCGCGCATCCGCCTACTGCTCCTAACTAAAGCGTAATTATATCTTAAGTGATCATCGAGCCGTGAACACGTCACGAAGTAGCAATTTTCGAGACCCATGTCCTCGCGACGCACAAGCAGCAGACGAGGATCTCCCGAAGCGAGCATCGGGCCAATGGCGAGGCGAGCTGAGGCAACATGGTGGCCACAGCCAATCAAGGGCCTCGAAACGACCTTCAAACATTTGCTTTTTGTGCGCTTGTTTCTAAAGGGAGGAGCCAGCTGAGGCGAGAAAGTTAAACATGGAGAAATGCTCTTTCCAATGAGCCCAAGACGCCAGCTCCCGGCCCCACCATCGCGAAGCACCGTGGTAGAAAATTCGTTAATGCGGGATGGGATCGCTGTTCAAAAACATTTTGTTGCCGCGAGATACGTAATACATGGGCTTCTATGAACGTTCGCCGGGGATCCGGAAACATTTCGTTGCCGCGGGGATTTCGTACTCGCGGGGTTTCGTTATTGCGGGTTTTGACTGTAGTACGTGTTCTAAAAAGCAGTGCATAAAGAAATAAGAACCTCATAGGGTCCCTTATGCATACGCCTAAGATGACCAGAAGGTGAGAGCCATTTTGTTTTTATTGACCGGTCTTCTTGATCGCCAGTGGCGTAGGTAAAACTTTATTTTTAGATAGGAGAGGGGGGAAGTGCACCTTGATCTGAATGGGCGCATGCAAATGGTAATATTGAGCTATATATATGCCATGGCAAAAAATATATTTTGGAAGGAGGGGGGAGGGGGCATGTTCCCCTGATGTGCCTCGCTCCACCTGGCTATGCCACTGGCAGCTGCGCCGTCATGTTTTGTGCAATATCAGAATCGATAACATCCCCCATGTATTGTGTGTTTTACAAGCGGGCAAGAGCGCGCGAGCAGGGGTGACGAAGCTAAAGCAGAGATAAAAAAAAGTCACAGTTTCACAGAAAGGGCGAAGCAATGAATGCAATAGCAACAACTTGGAATGTAACGCTGAGAACGGCAAGCAGATCGAAACGTGCAGCCCGCTGCTCAAGCACAAATGATGCATGAAAACAAGACTAACGAGGGCGAACTAACAACGTTTGCTGCTCGAAACGTAATCACAGGTACAGATGAGTGCAAACTAACAAGTGTCCCAGTTGTCATACCTCGCTGTGTATGAAAAGCACATTCTTTTCGCAAAGGGGCCTGCGCAGTCAGCGGAGTGACCTTTGCATTAGCTGCCGGGCCCAACACAATCATTCCGGTTAAAGTCGAAGGCCCACGATTCTCCCCACTGAAGGATAAGCGCGCACACACAAGCATCTACCCCCCCCCCCCCCCACACACACTCGCATGGTAAAGTACAAGTGGGAGAGTCGCGCGGTGGTGCATCGTGATGAGCTGGGTGTTGTGCACAGGTGTCTTTTTTTTTTCTCGAGTTTTTATATATATAGATACGTATACTATACGGTGAATGACTGCGGCGGCAGCAACGGCACAAAATTAGCCGTGACTGTCCATACAATTGAATAAAAGAGCCGACCTGCCACCTTTGTGCGAAGTGCAGATGCGACAGCATCACCCCGGGTGCATGGCCTGCAATCGATTGTTAGTAAAGCGGAGAGGAACGTGCCACCTATCTTGAAAAGGCCGGGAGGAACTAGGAACGCAAAGGCGGATCGGGGGGGGGGGGGGGGGGCAAGGTTGTTATGAACCTGGGGTGTGATCACTGGCACTCGCGCTAATTTGGCAGGCATTAAAGACGGCTGTTATATGCTTTTATTTTGTACTCTCCATGCGACCAGACTGTTGGTATCGCATTCATTGCTAAGAGCCTAATTGAAACTAACGAATAGTATCATTAGGACACGGCATCGCATAACTCAGATGAACGATGGCTAAAGGGACAATGACCACTCCAATTGCCGAAGCAGTTTTTGCACTATCAGTTATCTAAACGCGAAGCAGAGGTTACAGAAGCACAGGAAGTTTAAGAGCATGTCTCATTAGGCGTCGAGATATCTCGCTCGTCAATGCGCCCGTCAAGCGACGCAGCTTCCGCACCCCCCCACCCCCCCCCCCCCAAAAAAAACGAAGCAATGAATGTGATGAGGTGATGTTTAATTTTTTCAACTGTCAGCTACTGATCTTGGAAAGCAAGAGGCGGACGTGTAACAAGGCATAGCCGCTTCACCAGAGCATAACCGCTTCACCCTCTGCACCGAGAAAGGAGCACTCTCCGCAACAGCTTTCTTTTTTTCCTCTCTCTCCGCACGCGGCCTTGAAAGGGGAAGGGTCTCTATGTGCAGAGACTGAAAAGGGAGAAGTGTGGCACAGGCACGTCCCAGATCGGCATTTGAGAGAGAGCAAACAATCCGCCACAGTCTTTTCTTTCCTTTTTTTCTTTTCCTTCTTCGCGCGCAGCGTTGAGAGGTGCTGCCGCGGGATTAGGCATAGTGCTGAGAGCATTTTCGGAGTGCGGTATGTTCGAATTAATCGTCGTAAGTGCTTGCGTGTTCGAATTACAGGGCGTTTTCGCCCATTAGAATACACATAGCTTTGACGGGACTTCAGCGTGAGTTCGAATTACCAGAAGTTCAAATTAATGAGGTTCAACAATTTATTTTCTGCCGCACATGTGGTTGCGAAGTGGCACATCGGGCCGCAAAGCGGTTTCCTTCTCTGCACGCTTATAGATAGCGCCCATCTGAGCATACATTGTCACCAACTGTTATAATTGATATAACGAAATACAGTCACCAACCAATTTTTCGGACTCCAAAAATTCAGACTTTAAAAGTGCACCGTCAGAGTTCCCATATGGCTAATGCATTTGTTCAACAAATTTTTTGGACGAATTCGCCCCCTAAAGTTGGATTTTTCGGACTAAATCACTTGTTCTGACCCGCGCCACAAACCTGTATAGACGTCACCATTTAGATTTTCTGCCGTGTTGACTAAGCTTAGTGGCTTAATATTAAAATGGCATTCCTGCCTCCAAGATTGGAAAGAAAACGTCATATTCTTTAGAAAACGCGACACGGGACCATTTTCTCGTCTTCCGTCAGCCGTAGTGGCCAGCACTGTCGTCATCGCACCGTACAGGGAGGAGGCGGAGCTGCGCAGTAGTGGAGTGAATGTGCCTGCTACTATGACATTTCAAAACTTCGCTTGTGCGGACGATGACAATTTCGTGACGTTTTTGTCGAGCATTTACGGTGACGATGACACTTTGGCGCAAATATGGGCGAACCAAATTGCTTCCGAGCATAGTATGAGGCAAGGCAGAATCATGGACTTTTTTAAGCCTGCCTTATGCAATAAAGTTCATATTTCTGACAAAAACAAATTTTTTGCACTGTTCGATCTTTCGAATTGTTTTTCGGTCTCCGCCAGGTCAGAAAAATCGGTCGGCGACTGTAATGAATATAACGAAATATTTGTGGCTCCCCTTCAACTTCGTTATCACGAGGTTTGAGTATAATGCTCACAGCGCAAGCACATCTGTGGATCATTGACATGTGATGAAGTTAAACCCCCTTTATAAGACTCATGCTCTCGGCAGCAATTCTCGTTTCTTATATGAGATGTCTCTTATAAGTAGGGTGCCTTGTATGCATTTTCCTATCAACATGTACTTTACTGTAGGCACACTGGTGTCTCTTATACCTAATTGACTATTATGAAGGCCCTCAACTGTCATCGAAATCAGATCATATCCTTACCTGCTCCTTGAGCAGAGGCGTCAGCTTGCCATAAAACAGCTCGGAGGGTCTGAGCACGGAGGAGGCCTCACGCTGCTGCCAGCGCTTGTAGAGGGCAAACAGCGGGGTCACCCCGTCCAGCCACTGGATGAGGCCCGACCGGGAGCCCAGGGGAGTGACCGCGTAGTGGCGAGCCCTCGGTGCACTGGCCCCCGTGGCCCCCCTTGCCAGCAGGCTGTTGCAGATGCTGAGCAGCTGCATGATACGCTCATCCAGGTGGAGGTCCTCCATGCCCTTGAAGAGGAACGTGTACCGCTGGCCGTCCGAGCCCTGCACAGGCAGCGCAGAGGCGATGTGCTGAAACCTTTGGACGCCAGCATTCTTGGGAGAACACTTCATTTGCTCAAGACATAGCAAAATAGCTCAGAAAAAGACAACAGGTGAGGTGAAGAAACACCCAGACGAGCACTAAACTATAGTAACCCTCATCCGGTTCATCTCTTTTCCTGATCTATCTTCTTGCGAGCATTCCGTTAACATGTCTCAAGTCAGCCAGTATTAATTAGGGAAACTCACTCCCCTCGTGCTTGATTTGCATTGATGCACGTACATTAACCGCTCGTGACAAAAGGTCAGCAGTATTTTGCTTCACAAACAGGCACAGTAAAATCTGCCCACAACAACAAAAAAAAAAAAAAAAAAAACAAACCAAAAAAATGTTTCTGTACCGTTGTATGAACACACTTGCTTGACATCATTGTCAACACACAAGCAAAAGATACCACATCTTGAAGTGTACAACCCAATCCTGCATATAAGCTGTACTTATAACTACAAACTTCAAAATGATAAAAAAAAAAACACGAACAAAAAACATTCTCACGTAGTGCTGTCATGGCCCACCTACAACATGAGAGGGCCAGAGTTCAAAATCTGCCACCAGAACTAACCTGAAACTTGCCACAGACATCAATATCCAGGTGATAAGCATCACCACAAAATGAGAGCATCTGTTGCTGCACAGCTATGATAACTCCTTCAGTGGCATAGTACAGACCAAATTTAGAAGCAAGTCACACACTTTATTCAAATGGCTCGAAACGTGGGGTGCACATTGGTGCAGGCTTCCCAAGTGAACATATATCGGTCGTTTAGCTCTTTTATGTTGCGTAATGCTGTAAAAAATCACTTTGCTGACGACACTACCATGTTCGACGACCAGTTGACGTGCCGTGCTCCAGGACCCACGTCAAGAGAATTTTTTTTCTTTGCTTGTAATGAATGCAACCAAAAAACAAACTGTGCTTGCACTTGGGCCTAATATTTCATTTTTTAATGCAAATATTGATGCTGATGGCATAAATATTAATTAGATGCTTAATTACATGCTAGCTAACATTAATTACTGAAACTTGATCGAAACAAAACACTTCCTTATTTTCTTTCTTGAAATGTAATACTGAGTGCTTTGGAACCATGCCACGCAAATTCAACACATTCGCAGACAGTGAATCATAACTCGCGCCCGAAGGGGATAATGGCAGACACTGCGAGTGCGGAGGGACCTACAAACCTGGAAGCTCAACTTCTTGGGCTTGGTCTTGGTGGGCAGCACAGCTATGGATGACTGGACCGCTGCGATGCGGACATTCCCCGAGCACCCGGGCATGGGCACCTGCAGCATGGGAGGATGAAAGGTGCCGGTGAATATGAACAAGCAGATTTGGAAATGCAAATTTCAATCTGAGACATGGTCCCGCTGACCTGAGCAAAAATGACCTGCCTCAATACTAAAGATAAAAAGCATTTTTTTTTTCACATTAGTAAAAACAACTTTTTCAAGAAACCAAAAATAACCGCTACAAACAGACGCTGGGTAGGTGAGAAAACGTGCAACAAGAAAGTGCAAGTGGCGACACCACTGTGAAATTCCTGCACCAGTCACCGTGACATCACAGATTATAATGACATCTACCAGGGCTAACGTAATCCCTAATCGATAAAAATTAAGTACAATGTCTTCTAACAAATACCAAGTTTTTGAAAAATGTTTTTAAGCAATGTAGATAAAATATGAAAAAACACTTTGAAATCTTTGACGTAACCATTCATCAATGAAGCTATGGTGGCAAAATTAATGACAGCATTATTTCAGAGCATAATTTGAGCTTCTTAAGGTTTCATACACACCGATTCACCTAACTTCAAGTATTGATGCAATCATCACTTGTTTTTTATTTTTATTTTCATTTATTTCACTCACAATGACAGACGGGGAGGGCTGCCTATTGCTCTGTTTCTGAAGGTGTGCTCACCCGCGAGTTCTTGAGAGCGGCGAGTGCTGGAGAGACCCGCTCCATGAGCAGCTGGGGCCCTTCCTCGTGCGAGCGTCGTTGCAGGCGCAGATGCAGGCGCCTCAGTGCTGCCCAGCTCGCCTGTGGTCGCCACGGGTCGTGGGGGTTACGCAGGGTCTCCAGGGTCTCGGATATGAGAGGCCCCAGGGTCTCGCGGAACCACAGTTCGTGCGGAGTCTCGGGTTCGCGGGACGTCACCACAGACTGCAGCTGCTCTAGCAGGCGTAACGTCTGCATGGTTGAAGCCACAAAAACGTACATATATTCAAGGCTCATTATAACTAGATTGCATCTTGCATAAAAATGAGTTTGTTATTACCAAATATTCATTTTAAATGTGTATTTCTAGCTCTGTATCTACTGCAAGACTACTCTTCATTTACTTCGTTATATCAGAGTTCATTGCATCGAGTTTTGAGTGTGTACGTATGTGTCTGTGTGTGTAATATATATATATAATTTGCCCACAGCCAGTTATCTTTTTACCCACTTTTCTTCCTTCACATTTACATTACAATTTTGTTTAATACCTTACCCTATACTTTCCTTGGCATTATTGTCTGTTATATCTCATTAATATTGTGTCCAAAACACGGAAAAATGAGCCCTTAGGTATACACTTCTTTCCCTTTTTTTTATATATATATATATATATATATATATATATATATATATATATATATATATATATATATATAAATGGGCCAATATCTAAGCAATTTAAATATTAAAACAAGTACTTCAGTATTCAAATTAGCTTCAACATGAATTCGAACTGCTTAAAAGTTCTACATATTTGGAATGAACAAATAGACGCAGATTTGACTGCATGTGGTGCACCTGAAAAGAAGGTTTCACTGCAACGCAGAGCCACCATTTCGTGAAACAATCTGTCTAGCGATGATCCGCATTGCCATTTGTGAGTTTTAAAGGGCCACTCACCAGGCCCCATAGCGAATTTTAGTTAGACAGTGGAAGTAGTTAGGTGTCCGATGAGGAACATTCTGCCACAAAACTTTTTCGTATCGGTTCATCACGAGCGGAGAAAACAGGTTTTTTGAAGCGGCGCGAAATGAGGATGAGAGGAGGTGAGCTCGAAACCCTTGCCGCTCCTCCGCGTAGCCTTCGCAAGCCAAATCTCTTCCCCACCCTCTCCAGCATCCGACCATGAGGTGACGTGTGCATGATGTGCCCAAAAAAGTCCAACCCCCGAGAACGCGAGCAGCGTTGCTTTGTTGACCAGCGTTATTTTGTGGTCTTCTGCCTGTTTCTGCGGGATGGTTTTAAAACGCTAGCTTAGACGCGGTAGTGTAGATGAGCACAATGAGTGCGCGAACGCGTAGGAGCGTTCCACAGCGGTCGTCTGCTCGAAGCGCTGACTGCGGGGACACGAACGCATGCGAAACGCTGGCACATTAGCCCCGCATCTCGTAGCATTTCACGGGAAAAAATATAAGAAAAGCGGGCACAATTTCTATTACGTCTCATTATTTATTTAAAGTTTTATTAATCTCTTAATGCAACAAATACATAAACTACGCATGTTGTCTTAAATAATTTTTGCCATGTCACGTGGTATACTGTTTACGTCAGAGCAGACTCGTCTACGTAAAGGACCAACGTCACTGCATTGCCGTGTACGTAGGGCCATTCCTATGCCTACGTCATGCTCTCATTCTCTACGTGTGCGCCGGCAGAGGGAAAGGGGAGCAGCTTTCATCTTGAAATTTGACCCATTTCCGCGGCGCACAGCGTTGCAAAGTTTGGCAGACGTGATCATGAACGCCTCGTCTACGCATTGCGCTTGTCAGCACGAAATTGCCAAACATGGTGAGTGGCCTTTTAAAGCACCTCATGCGGGTTTAAATGCACTAAGCTACAGCAAACTTCAAAATACAACATATTTTAAAGCCCACAACTTGCTCCCCATTACTATGTGAATCGTGTCACTATTTCGATTCACTTCTACGTAGAATAGAGTGACATTCACTCGCACCTACTTCCGAATTCTGAAATGTATTGTGGAAGTTAGCTGGGTAGCTCATTTTGCTATCAATATGCTTTTTTCTTTACATTAAATGATAAATACTACCCAAGTTATTCGATTAAATATTATTCAAAGAAGTCACTTTTCCCTTCAAACTTTACTCTTTACCCATTCCTCATATATAAGTGAATAATAATAATAACAAGATGTGGGGTTTAAATACCAAGGAAGCATGAAACAGTTGCGAAACCGCATAAAAGAGGAGATTAAGAAATGATTTTGACTCTTTCCTTACTTCACAAGATTTTTCTCTTATAATTTACAGCTTATACATATTTTTTTCAATGTGTTTCATTTAATCTAACTTAACCCTGCTACTATTTAAATCTTGTCACTATTCACAGTTGCTTGCACTTCAACTGGAAACGGTGACAGTTATAAAAGCCTGGTTCGAATTCTCAAGATACTGTGCAATTTTCATGGGTCATTAAAGTTTCTTTTTTCTAAAGTTTGCAAAAAAAAGTGACCATACTTAACCAACCAGCCCATTGTCAAGTCTTTCTGAAGCATATTTAAAGCATATGTTAATGCCAGTTTTTAAAAATTGTAACAAGCGCTAACATGCCTAGCTCACAGTATGCTGAAGAACTAAATGAAAACATGGAAAGTAGTGTTCAAGTTACCACCCTTTATTTCGCATGATTTGTCTGCAAAACTCCCTTCCCTTTTGCAGGTCGTCAAGTTCATCAAATGACCCTTAAAAGGGTACTGACAAAAAAAAAAATGTTCAATGTTTTTGTTGCATTAAATGAAAGGTCAAGTCCTTAGAGGGACACTAAAGGCAAATAACAATTTATGTCAAAGCGAAAGCTCAATGTATGACACCTAAAATGGCAATATCATCAACAGCAGTGCCCTACTTATTCAGTGTGCTGTGAGTGGGACATTTTGGCAATTATCCAAATTACATGGGAGAATGACCACAATTATAACCGATCAATCAAACTGCAATAAAAAAAAGACCGTCCTGTGCATCAAGAGATGTTATAAAATGCTGCCTGCCCGTTTCTGTTCGATTCATGGGAAAAAAACAAACCGCTGGCGTTACTATGGGGAATGGCACTAGTCGTTCTAAATGTTCCGTTTTTGTCTGGTGCCATTTAGCAGGGCCTAGATGAACCAAGAGAGCAGCAAATTGTTCAATGTCCGTAGCTGCTGCTGTGGCTCCCGTTACTTTTGTTCTGCTGTAACTAGTGTCGGCAGCGGCGCAATAAAGGTGGGCGACGTTGGGCACGGCAATAGTGACGTCAGAAAGATCACTTTCAGGCGGAAGATTTGAAGATAGAACAGTAAGCTCAGCTTTGAAAAAAAAAAAAAAAAAGGTGTCAATACCCCTTTCATTTCATCGAAGCTTCCCAAATAAGCACTGTCGGCACCGTTGGCCACAACAGTGGTAACTGATGCTGAATACGCCTAAGGTTGGTTAGCGGCGGCATTAGCAACTCCATAATCGCACGGCATGGGTACACTTCCACGAATCGCCAATGTCAGCATTGATTTCAGCATCAATGTAGTCAGAAACGGCTACGTCGTCATCTTCCCTGATGAAGTCGCTCTCTGTCTTAGATGGTGCCCAAAAACACTAATAAGTCACAAAATTGAGTCACCCTTGGCCATTGTCAGCCATCATGACGCCCCAAAAGTCGTCACAAAGCACTAAAGCCTACAAGAAGAGAGTTCCGGAGAGGGCTTTACTTGACCTTGCTCCAAGCACAAGTCATCAACTTTATTGCTTCGGGCGTGTAAACGCTTAGTTACACTCCCGGCTGAGAATTCATCAGGACTGAGGTGAGAAGTACACAAGTAAACAAGCCGAATGAAACAAACATCACAGGAACAAATCCCCATCGTCGACATGTCGGCGATAGCGATGTCACCTGTAGCTCTGTAGTAGGCAGCCGCTTCTTTGGAGCAAGACGCTAGAAAAAACAGCCTCTAAGACGTCTATTCTAAAACTGAAAACACCAAAAGTACGTCACGAGGTTATGCCCCTCTAAGACCATGCTTTTAGGGCCCATGTGGTATCGTGCATGAACAAACAAGAAATTGAATACTGCAATGAGGTCGCCGAGTCACTTCACGTTCTTATTCTGGTGCCGTCTGTGATTAGCCTTTTTGAAAAGCACAATGTCCACACATTAAAACCTGCAGATTGCACATCAAACATACTGATGCACTTACAATCAGGGTGCAAAGAACCAGATCAACACAATGGAATAACACTGCCTTTTCATCACCTGCACGCAAAGAGGGAAGGAAAGTTGCTAGATTGCAGCTAAAAAAATGATATTTGTTGTAAAAAAATGCACTTTCTGGGCTTCGACAGGACGCAGTGCTAGATATAGTGGATGTGTCGCAATGTGGGAGTTCGATATATACGGGCACTAGTCCCACACTTTTGCAGTGGAAATTCAAGAGGACTTCACAGCTGTTTGACATAGCCAATAATTCGATATATTCGAGAGCGATATATTCAGATTTGACTGTATATACTATCGTATTAGAAACACTTGACCAAATCCCTCATTCGCTTCGAATTCACCTCAAACCTGACTATTCACACTATTCACAGTTAAACCTGCTGATAACGAACCTCCATATAATGGATTCTTCTATATAACAAAGTTTTTCTATTCCCTGTCGTGGCTCCATAGAAGCACATGTATTTGCAACCTCTATATAACAAAGCAACAGCGGGAGACAACCTTGATATAACAAATTTGACCCACGGGAAATCTAGCAATTTCGCTCCGCGCTTTGTCATTTTGGTATGGGCATGCATCTTTCGTGGCTGCCCCGTTGCCAACTAAGCACGAAGCGTCGGCGTGATGCGGGCAGGCGGGCCTGCACCCCACGAGCCTGCGTTGCCGCCGGGAGTGCCCCCCCTCCTACTCAAAAAAAAGGAAGGACTGTTGCATATCGGCAGTTCCCCGCTTTTAGGTAACATCACACATGTGAGGCCGCGCTGCACATGGGGAGCGCTTGGGTGGTTTACTTTCTGACGGGTGGTTTACTTTCTGTTTGAGCATTCGACGGCAGTTCTAACAAAACGCAGATGTGCACTTTTCAGGTGATAGAAAAACGCAGATGTGCACTTTTCAGGTGATAGGGATGGGCTGACTCATTTGATCTCTGCTTCAGCAGCGCTCGTGCGCTTTCGCCCGCCTGTGAAAGTTATAATGTGCGGGGCATATATTATCAATTTAGACTTGTTACGGAACATGGCGGCGACAGCAAAAACCCGCCGCGAGTGTTCATACCATTGGTATCACAATAATAACGCAGATTGTTACCGTAAAACAAGTGTTTTAGATTAGATTGCCTTCAGTACCTGATTTGTTTAATTTGCATGTTTACCGTATTTACTCGATTCTACCGCGCCCTCGATTGTAACGCGCACCCGATTTCAACCGCGAAAAAAACCCAAAAAAAACGTAAGACATCGATTGCAACGTGCACCCATTTTTCTCGCTGGCTCGCAAGATCACACCACTGAAAAAAATGACTCCTTTCGTGAGCGTCTTCCATTTAAATATGAGGTATGGGCGAAGCTTGTGCTCATCTGTCGTGTAACAGAGCATTGCCGTCACTGTAGTTTTACCGTGGACCGATGTCAGCACATCAACTTTCTTCGCCCCCTTCTTCTCGACGGTTGTGGTGCCAGGCATGTCGAAGTAAAGAGGTGTCTGATCGGCATTCCCGATTTGCCCAAGCAGGTAGCCGTTGTTGCGCCGCAAGTTTAGGACGAACCTCTGAAAACTGTGAAGCTTTTCATCGTATTCCTCCGCAAAACTTTTTGCATATGCATGTTCCCCTTCGGAGGGAAAAGCCTTTCCTCTTCATATCGTTAGTTAGCATCTGCTCGCTTTAAACTGGCTCCGCATTAGACCTTTTTCTAAGACTAATTGCATAGCCCGCACTTGGAGCAGTTCTGTCGTCACGGGCCGCTGTGCCGCTCACATGCACATACTCGCCTAGCAGCTCTTTAATTTGCGGAAACCGACCCTGCTGTGGTCCACTGAAGCCTTTGCGTGAAGCTTTGCTGTCGACAATCTTTTGCTTTTGTTTCCGCCGGTCCTGCACGCACGTTTCGGGAACTCCGAACGACCGCGATGCGGCCCGATTTCCGTCCGTTTCTGCACACGCGATGACTTTTCTTTTAAAAGCGGCATCGTGGTGCACTCGAGTTTTTGGAGTCGACCCTTCCACGCCGTCGATGCTAATGCATTACTAGATGACGAACTCCTCAGCACAAGCACGAAGTGCCGCACATGGGAAACACATAGGCAGAAATGGCCGACGCGCCATGCCGACGCACACAACTTTCCTTCCTCCGTGCCGATGCACGTAGGGGGCGGCCATTTTGGATTTGCCGATGGCAATAGATTGACCGTAATTTTTTTGTTCGTACTTGATTCTAACGCGCATGCGATTTATGAACTCGCTTAACCAGAAAAAAGGTGCGCGTTAGATTCGAGTAATTACGGTATTATTCAAATTTTCGTATTGAACCTGCGCATAACAAAATCCTCTTTATAACGAATTTTCCCGAGAATTTATCAATTTCGTTTTACTAGGTTTTACTGTATTCCTACTGCCTTGGTTTGACTTATCAGTTGCAGTTTTAGAGCACACCTAAGGCTCGAAAAGTCCAAGAAAGGTCCCTTAGCTCAATTTTTCGTACTTCCCACTAGCCAATTCTTTATCCGCAGACGGATATTCAGCAGCAGGAAGCTTTGCGAGATGAATTACGCTCGTATTTGACACTTTCGGTTGCATGCAACGTCAAGTCCACAAAGTTTCAGCCACTCACCGGGCACAGGAAGAGGGAGTGCTTATCTCGGATCAGAGTGTCCTTCTGGGCTGTGCTGAGGCCCACATTGGCACGCACCCTCCCCACCTCTTCCTCGAGGGTGCGGATGCGGCGGTGGGCCTCCCCACTGTGCACGTTGAGCGCACCCACCCATAGCTCGTCCCAGAGCAAGGTGATGCGTCGCAGCTCACCCACAAGCAGTCGCACCTGCACATAGTGGAAGACAACATAAATTATACATACAGTAGAAGCTCAGTGATACGAACTTCACAGGGAAGCAAAAATTGTTAAAAGATTTTTATCACCTGAAATTTCGTATTAAAAAAAAAATGAAAACCACCAAAATCCGTTTCAAACCACAATATACGCACAAAAACTTTCACAGCAGTCGCAAGAAGGAACTTGCTTACGTCTTTCCAAGACATATTCAAGTGAACTATTACAGGACAATAAAGATAGCTGTCGCAAATGCATGCACCGTCCATAGCTTTGCTTGGTGCCATACAAAAGCCACTCCATATGTCATCAGCAAAGGATAGGAAAGCTGAAGTAGTTCGTGCTTTTTAACGAAATAATTGTCTTATAAAGTTTACTGCTGCGTTGGCCGCATATCTTTAGAGCTGCACAGCAGCTATCCATGATCGCTTAGAAAGCGACTGCAGTTTCGGCCACCAGGGTTGTTGCAAACAATAACCACAAAACTGACTGAGGATAGCAATCGGCTTCTTCAATTGTTTATTGCTGACAGTACCATGGTGACCAAAGCAATAATGTGATACTGACTAAAGGCACCACGCTGAGCAGTCCTGAACTTCTAAGGACTTATAATCAGAGAAGCTCAGTATCACCCAATCCAATACCCGCTCGATAAATGCAATGCCAACCTGCGTGATGGTCTGTGCGTCGTCTGCTGCCAGCGTGTCAACGAGGGCAATGTAGCTCTCTCTCATCAGCACTGACGTAGTTCCTTCATCTTCCGTCGTTTCACTGGCTGGAGACGCCGTGGCTCCACCAAAAAGGGCACTGGTTCCACCAATGCCGCCAGGTGGCTCTGGCAGTGCCCCTACGACAGCGGGGAACACGATCAGGTGAGGGTAATCCCGGGCGAGTCTCGACAGCAACTTTTGGATGCTCCTGCGAACGTAGGCCTCTGGGTGGTTGAGGCGCGAGAACAGCTGCGGAATGATGCCCCGCCAGGGCGCCGTCGGCGTGTCCGTCAGCCCTTCCTCGAGCTCGCCGCGTAGCTCGGAGGCATGCTTCACCACCAAGCGCAGGAGACGCAGGGTGGCCGTCACGTTGGTGTCTTCGTCCTGTGCGAGAGAGACGCAGCTGAAGAACTGTGCACATGAAAGTCATTATACGCGGAAGATATGCTTGACAGTGTCGATTTATGGGGACACTGCTTTTAAGCACGTTTTTGTTTGTTTTTGAGCACAATTTTTTACAACTTTCACGGATTATGAATTTTTATCAGTTGACATCACATGGCCAATCACTTAGTACAGTGTCTAGTTCTTCAAATATCAAATATAGTGGAACCCCATAATAGGAGACAAATGGGTATAAGAGACACCAGTGTGCCAACAGAAAAAATATGGGTTGATAAGAAATGCATACGACGTACCCTGCTCATAAGAAACATCTGATATAAAAGACAAGAATCGCTGCCCGAAGCATGCCTTTTATAAAATGGTTCAACAGTATTTCCTGTATCATTAGGAGCAATATTTTCTCTTCAAGTGCAATGGTTGCAGGGTAAATCAGCAAATCCCAATAATGTGAAATGAAAAATGTGAGCAACAAAACGAAAACGGATGTTCAAAGCCCACTTCAAGAAAAGTTATGGCATATTGAACATTCGCGAGCGAGTCGATGCCAGGCCAGGATTTCACCCACGAGCAAGAAAATAAACCAGACAACGAAAACACCAACGATCAGATTGCTTTTGAACAGTGCCAATTGCTGAACGCAGCCAAGGGATACCTGTAGCTGCTGCAGTTGTAGATACTTGAAGTAGGCAGAGGCAGCCGACCGATAATAATGAAAGGCCCGGCTGAGCACTACCGCTCGCGATTCTAACAGGGAGTCCAGGGTCCGAGGGTCTAGTCGTGGGCAGACCGCCTCCAGCTCCTGTCGCAGGTCTGACCAGGCCATGTGGGTCCTGTCGACATGGCCGTCCGACTCGGGAAAGGCCTTCGATATGACATGCGAGAAAGAACAGGATGTCTTAGAGTTTCTTTTGCTTGTTTTTTTGTTCCTGCCAGACCAGTGAATTCCTCACTGAAGCATGTGTGATGCCGGGGACTACATCCCGATCCAGAGAACATCTCACACGACAATGTCATCACAAGCAGCATGAAATTTACAATTAGGAGGTACTGTCACAAAGCAATTCTATTGCGATTCTACGACTTTTCTTATACCTTTCGCTGCCATTAGCCGTCTGTCATTGGTCAAAACTCCTGGGCCGCTACTTTTGACCAATGGCAGACTGCTAATGCGAGATTAAGGCTAAAAAAAAGTCGTGTAATTGCAATAGTCGCTCCACGATAGCACTTATGTAGAGAACTGCAAGAATAGGTAAAGTCTGCGAAAAAACTTCCGTACACCTTGGGTCGAAAAAAAACAACAAAAAAAACATGCTGAACTTCATACAGTAGAATCTCGTTAAACACAATGAAGTTTCGTATGCAGAGGAGTGTACATAGGGCTGCAGGAGCCAAATATTAAACCCACTAAACACAGAGCAGCAGTTCCAGCCGACACAGCAATTTTCTTTCCTCAGTGCTTCCTATTTAATTAAGTCCTGCTTTATTTGGATCGTGATGCTCAACAATACCTCCACAACATCCTAGTCCTCAAAAGAGCTAAACAGGACTATTACTGTTTCTATTATTATTATTATTATTATTATTATTAAAGCTGTGCAAATACCAAAATTCTGGGTGTGTGAAGTAAATTTGAGTGTTTAAGTTTGAGTGCGACTTGACTTTTCAAATTGCTGTCAAATAGTTGTTCGACATTTTTGTAATACTTTGAAGTAAAACTTGAGAGAAACGATTGCAGAGCACCCCCCCCCCCCCCCAGGTTGTGCGCTAAGCACATTATTAAGAAATAAGGACACAGACGTGTTGTTTTTTTTTTTTTTTGGCTAGGTTGATGAAGTACTGGAGGGATGGAGTTCCCTAGTTGTTGCATCCAAAGGGTGAAGCAGTGCAGAGACGGAATTGTATTAATTTACATGATTTGGCGCAACCAGGTGGATCGACTAAGCGGGCCGCAAACAGATCGTAGCAGAGCTACAGAAGATTCTCTGCTGCCAAAACTCTAACTGCCATGCATAATCATTGATGAAACAGTGCACTCTGTCGCCTATCTACCCTGTCTCAAGCCCTTCTAGATTCCCAATTCTGATGACACTTACTGCCTTGGAGGTTCCCTTTACAGCGTAGTGTCAGCAATGTGCTAGAGAGTTACAGCATTTGCAGCAATCTTTACGACTGCTTTACAAATCCTACATTACTAGACTCTTTTAGGACTAAATTATTTGCCCTGTACTACAAGCAGTTGCTCTTAAGCAAAGGGACACTAAAGGCAACTATTAAAGCCAACGTTGATTGTTGAAACAGAGCTCCAGAAACCTCGTAGTGTTACTTTTGTGCCAAGGAAGGGTCTATTTTGAAACAAATCACGTTTTAATGGTTCGAATCGGGTTAGCACACTTCAAATTACCCGCCTCAAGAAGCTACTGGACCAGCTCGCGTCAGTGGGGCTCTTCGATTTTCCACTTCTGGCTACCCGCAGGCTGCCAGAGCCAGCCACATGTCCAGTGTAGCTACGCGAAAATTGAATTTTTGAACCACTCGCGTCAACCCCCATAGTAACGTCCGGCGTTTTTTTTTCTCCCATGAATCGAACAGAGACAAACAAGCACCATTTTATTGCATCTCTTGATGCACGGAAGGTTCTTCATTTAATGCATCTAGATCAATTACTAGTGATTAATTGTAGGCGGTCCTTCTGATGTCACCAGGATCATTTTGAGAAAGTCCTACTGCAGCACGTGTGTTCTTGTGCATTTACCTTAATTTCTTGGTAAATAGGGCACTGTTGTTAATAACATCGTCATTTTAGATTCTGTCATACATTGAGCTTCCACTCTTACGTAAATTGTTATTTGACTTTAGTGTCCCTTTAAGCAGTTGAAGGTTACACACACACACACACAAAAAACACGCCCATGAGATAGCTGTCCACAGCATGTGATAATGTGTGCCAACTGGCAGTTGTACAGATGATCTCCCTGACTATAATGCCCATTTAAATGACTCTCTGAGGGCCTGAATATTATCTCAAAAGTTATCCATCTGTTCATGAAGTGCAAGTTTAAATTCAAGCGACTCTTTAGCAGTATGAGCGGTAGCAAAGAAGTCCCTGCGAAATTGCAGCAGAGTGTATGACTTACGCGCAGGACATTCCACAGCTGCAAAAAGATGGCAAATGATGAAGAAAAGACAAAATGATGCCTCACTAGCCCAAAGCACGCTTTTTTGTCTTATCAATACCACGACTGTTTGAACAGCGACATCGGAGACTGTATCTGCCACTCGATTTTCGGTACTGAAAGAAACTTCATTATAACGAAGTTGCACGTTGTGCAAAAATAAGTTTATGTTATATCCAAACATTTGTTATATAGGTATATTGCTAACACTATATGTCTTTGCAATGCTATTTTTCATTTACTTCATAATAACCAATACTTCGTTACATCTGAATTCGTTATACCGAGGTCTGAGAGTATGTCGCTGCTAGAGCCATGCTGACAATGAATCACTTTTACGCAAACTTGCTGGTATAATCACAAGATGCTCGTCTGGTTATTGAGCAGTATCCTCCTGTTCACTACATTCATCAGTCAGCGCACACTGGCATTGGATGTCCTCAAAAGCGACCTTGTGTGAACACAGCCCCAGCATGCATATACTCGTGTTATTCCACTTAATGTAGCTCAAACAGACAAAACGACCCCAGCAGACCTGCACTCTCATGAGGATGCGCTTGGCGGCACTCTTCTCCTCATCTGTCAGGGAATCGGGAAGCAGGTATGCCAGGTCGTTGTCCTTTGTCGAGATGTTCAGCTTGCCGTCACTATGAGAGAAAAAAAAAAGAACCACCATAGGACGTCAGTGAAAGTCATGCCCTGCACTTTGTCCGCATCATTTGGTGCATGCACTTGAGAGAAGACAGCCAATCAAAAGACAGGCATCGCGGGCCCAAAGGACAGGCAACAACTATAGATTTGGAGTTGTAGCAAAGCAAACGAATATCATCACGAAAAATTTTACCCTGAAAGCATCACGGAGTCTTTCATACAATGCGGAGAGAAAAAGAGAGGCACTGCTTTACAATTTCGGCTTCACCAATGATACTTTTACCATCTTTCCAGGCAGACGAAGGAATGATCTGGCATCTCTTACTCGTTGCAATGTGGAGAATTAGAATTTTAACCACTAGTCCTCGTAAATACATAGTCACAACTTTGATGTTATCTTTTGCTCCACTGTTTGATAAATTTCTTTCAGTATTTGAAAAGCTGCGAGTTGGCTTGTTTTGTTGAATTTTGATCTGCCACAGAGCAATAAGTTAGGCGCCTCTGCGGTGATGATGTGCGGTGTTTTATGACGCCAACGGCCATTTGATGGCAAGAGTGCCAGGTCAATGGACAAGTGATGCGAACAATGATTATGATAGGTGGCTGTAAAAGGGCCTTAAAATTCCTCGCACTGACGAGGGTAAAAACATAGAAGCATTAAAACCATGACATTGGCGTAAAATGTGTGCAGTGAGAGTGAATGGCAAAAGGTGATAGACAGCATGCCTGCCAAGTTCAAAGACTCTGAATTCGGGAGATTTCTGCAACAAGGGGAGGGGGGGCATTGAAAAAACCAAGAACAAACAAAAAGCACCGCGAAAAATAAAAAGGGGTACGAGAGGGGTCTCAATCCCATACGCCAATATCAGCTTTGCGGACTTATAGTGGCTAGGAGTGGCTGAACACACGAGGGTAGAGTTTTTCACTAAGGTGAGAGTCTCAAAGGATCAATACAACAAGCAGAATCTATTTCAGTCAAAACAACTCGCGTGTGTCTTCTTGGGGCACACGTGAACGGACGAAACGGCGCAGCTGGCTGTCACACAAGCACGGGAGATTTTTTTTACAAAAACGCCAAAATGCTTCAGGCCCCTTTTTATTGCAATTTTTATTGCAATTATATGAACAGTCCAGCCAAAATGCTTCAGACCCTTTTTTATTGCAATATTTATTGCAATTATATGAACAGTCCAGGCTGTTTTTTTTTTTTTTTACCGTCGCCACCGCTGCCGTCCTTCACCGTATATGTATACGTATCTATATTTATGAACACTCAAATAAAAAAAAGCCACCCGCGCTCGGCGCCCAGCTCGTCGCGTTGCACTGACGCATGCTTATCTCTCACGTGTACTTTGCCCCATGAATGGATGCCTATGCGCGCGCTTATCCTTTGGTGGGGGGAATCGTGTGCCTTCGGTTTTCACTGAAACGAAAGCGTTAGTTGCCGGGCCCACAAAGGTCACTACCGTCTCTGCACAGGCCCCTTTTGCGAAAACAGCGCGCTTTTCATACACAGCGAGGTAAAACAACTAATACACTTGTTAGTTTGTACTCATCTGTGCCTGTGATTACGTATCGTGCATCCTTCTTGTTTAAACAGCGCGGTAAACGCTGTTAGTTCGCTTTCGTCCTGCGAGTATTGTTCTCGTGCGTCATTTGTGTGTGAGCAGCGAGCTGCAGGTTTCGATCTGCTTGCCGTTCTCAGCGTTACATTCCAAGTTGTTGCTGTCGCATTTATTGCTTCGTCCTTGCGACAAAACGAACGTTTAGAAATTTTTTCACGTATTTACTGCTTTTAACCTACTGCTGCGTGCCCTTAGAGCTCAAAGAGCGCTATCGCGTCGTAGCGACAGCGGTTTCGTGCGCGGCGGTTGCGACGAATGGTAGTTCATTTTACAATCCCCATGCGGTTGGCTGCGCACACGCCTTCAAAACTAAGTCATTTTATACAATCTACGATAGCATCTGCCGCAAGTTTGTCCACAGAGTTTGCGGAAAGCAGCCTTGCTTTGACTGGTTGAGCGCACACTTTCGGGGTTACCTCAGTTACGTCGTCGCCATACATGATCTTGTCAAGAGCGACCGCGGTTTCGTCCTCAGCGGTTGTGGCAACGACAATAACACGCACTGCAGTGCGCCGGTCGCACGCGTACTTCCGAAGCTTCGAGTACGTTGCTCTCAGCCTTCGTTCGACAGTTTCCATACTAAAGTTCGTATCACCCACAGCGATAAAAAAATGTGTTCGGAACATTCGAAGTGAGGCCCAATGAACATAATAAAATTTGGCTGGGAATTTAAGAACTTGTATCTGCCGCGGTTTTGCGTCACTGAGATTATACTGTTCAATTACATGAACGCCTCTTAAACTCATTTATAGTAATATGGGGTAGGTTCCAAAAGCCTGCAGCGGATTTAGCTGGTTTTTTGTCAATGCGGCCAGATCAGGCACAGAAATTTCGATTTCCAAGAGATTTTCATGACAACCGTACAACAGGAAAAAACGGTCAAAATCCAGTAGTCTTCCAGCCAATCCGGGAGACTTGGCGGGTATGAAACAGTGATGAAGATGTAGCCACCGCAACCTCTGAAGAGAGGTTGCGGTGGAGCACCTGGGTATATGACGTTAAAAGTACGTACGTCTGTTAAAAATGCCAGCAATCATTTATGTGTGAAAAGGGGTTCTCTACCGATGAAAATTGATGGGTGCAAAGGTATCTGTTGTTGGTATGGCAATAAAAAGTGCTTTTTTCTGAGAGCACCTAAATCACTGCACTGGACGAGGATGTGGAGAACCGTGAGCGGTTCTCCATATCTCTCACACAATGATGCATCGCCACCAGACAAAAGGTATGAATGTGTCGAGTGTGTGTGTCCTATCTGTAGTCTTGTATATGTGACTTGTATGTAGCGTGATCTGGATACTGTTGGCCAATTTCTGATTCTCGGTTTGATAACATGGTTTGTTTTCTGTTTGCCTATCCCATAGTCGCTGCTGCCAGCACGCCCTGAGCTTCCGTCATAGGAAAGGTTTCAGATCAAGTGCAGGGACAGCTACGGATGTATTGGCGGCAGCGTTGTTTTGAGCAGATGCGGCAAGCTGATCCGCCAACACATTTCCAGCGATCTCGCGGTGCCCTGGCACCCAGCACACTACAACATGTCGTTTGAGAGCATAGATCTTGCATAACAGAGAGTACAGTGACACAAGGACATGATTTTTATGTTTTCGCAGAGTTTTCTAAGCCGTTACTACACTCAGCGAATCTATGTATATTACCGCACATTGTAGTTGCAGTTCTTTAATATGCTTGACGGCCACAGAAACCGTGTGATTCTCTGTGGTGAAGATGCTTGTTTCGGAGTGCAGAATACTGGAGTTATAAAAGGATGGGCCAACAGCTGCATAGGACACACCAGTGTGAGATTTTGAAGCATCTGTGAAAAATTCTGGGCAAGTATACTTGTGCTGGAGTTCGAGGAAGTGCGTGTGGATATGTGCAGTAGGTGCATGTTTAGTGACTTCCACGAAAGATAAATCGCAGTCTATAACTTGCCATTTCCACAGTGGCAGATATACTGCTGGGGCCATCAAATGGTGTTCTCCAAGTGGCACACCTCTTTCCTCAACAAGCCTCCAGACATGGAGTGAGTAGGGCTGTCTGAGCGAGGGACTGTTATCGAACAAGGTAGAATTGGACCGATCATTAATTGTGCAGCGAGTTGGATGTTCGTCTGCGTTAACCTTAAGATAGTAAAAGACATGTAACATCTCTGCAGATGGAGCGACCATTCATTTGATTCTACGTACAGACTCTCTACGGGGCTAGTTGATTGATATGTGGGGTTTAACGTCCCAAAACCACCATATGATTATGAAAGACGCCGTAGTGGAGGGCTCCGGAAATTTCGACCACCTAGGGTTATTCAACGTGCACCCAAATGAGAGTGCACGGGCCTACAACATTTCCGCCTCCATCGGAAATGCAGCCGCCGCAGCCGGGATTCGATCCCACGACCTGCGGGTCAGCAGCCGAGTACCTTAGCCACTAGACCACCGCGGCGGGGCCTCTACGGGGCTTGTTCGAAAAGCACCCGCAGAGAGGCGAATGCTTAGATGGTGGACAGGGTCGAAAATCTTTAAGGCTGATGGTGTCACAGAATGATAGATTATAGCACCGTAATCTAGATGCATGCATACGAGGTTTTTATATAAATTTATCAGGCCTTTCTTGTCACTGCTCCACGCAGTTCGTGACAAAACTTTCAAAATATTCATGGTTTTTAAGCACCTGTCTTTTAAATACTTGATGTATGTGATGAAGGTTAGTTTTGTGTCTACTAATAGGCCCAGAAACTTATGTTCGGTCTTCACAGACAGACGACCATACAGATCAATCTCTGGATCGAAATAAACACCCCTTTTTCGGCAGAACAAGAAGCAGGTGCTCTTTTTCGCATTCAGTTTAAAACCTTTCTCATCTGCCCATTGAGAGACCTTGTTCAAACCTAAGTGAACCTGACGTTCACACACTGAGAGGTTACAAAACTTAAAACCGACCTGCACATCAACATATTGTGGGGGTGCTGACCCCCCCCCTGTAAAGTTGTCTGCGCCGCGTGGCGCACGTGTCTCGCCCCAAGGCTTTATTTCGGTGGGGACCACCGCCGGGCGATAGATGGCCTTGTGTTCGCTTTGAGTACCACTGTTGGTAGAGTGGTAGCGCCGGCGGTGGCCCCTGGCGGAAGGCAGGCCTTGGTGGTGGGCGAGAGTTGAGCGAGCCTCTTCTGCGCGTGGCGGCTGCCGCGAACGGTTGCCTGTAGCGTGGGTCCCCGGTGCTCGGCACCGCGGGCTTCACGCCGGGGTCCCACGTGGAAAGTCAGGCGTTGGCGCCGCCGCCTTGGGTATGTGTTAGTGTGTTGGGTGTGTTAGTGTGTGTTTATCATGTTATTGTGTGTTTAGTGTGTCACTGCGTTATGTTGTTTGTATGGTAGCGTG